CAACAACAACAACAGCAACCACAACTGGGCGCGGTACCATTTCTGCGTGGTGGCATCAAATAGTCCGTCCTGAAATGCAACTCTGACAGTCACAGGCGTGAGTCATTTCTGCACTCGAAGACCTATAAAAGTAAAGAGCAAGGTTAACCAGGTGAGCAGCAGCAGATCATATACAAAGCTGTCAGTGCAAAGGCACTTTCCTGAGGAACCTCCCACTTAGACTTAGGATCAGACTCCCAGAGTCTCATCCAGCGTCGGCGGATCAGTGGCTGGGTCGATTCGAAGAATCACCTTGGATCACGAAGACAAAGAGATGATCAAACATCTATAGTAATTAGTGAACCATCATATGTTCATCCTTCAGGAAACGTTCGGAAATCTCACTTCCAACGGAAGAATATCGAAACACCGAATTCGCCAAGCTATCAAACCCTACTAGCGCTCGCCCTTGACTTTCAGTGAACACTACCAACCCCCCTCAATGATATGGAGCTCCCACTGTGGCGGCTCCAGGGATGCCGTAGATGATGCCATCGAGGCCCAAGATGCCAGAGCCCCTGCGAGAATCCCAGAACTTTGTTGGACTTAGAATTTAGCTACGCAACAACAGATACTGAACTAACCGCCCTGCAGAGATTGCTGACATTACATAATTTAAAATATCATCAGTAAGAATCTTTGACGGACCTGCATACCTTCCAGTGAAACAATACAGAACAACTAAATAAAGAGACAATGATGTTCTTCCCGCCAAGATCGGAGATCTCGTTGTTTCGCCCTGTGACGAGACGCCAAAGTACCTCCCGCATGCCGATCCAAGGGCCCGGGGCCCCTGGCCACTTGAGAGTGTCACTGCTGAAATTTCCAAGCGTTGACACTGCCTGAGAGGCAGCAGCTCGGAGAACGTGGACTCGGCGTATCCAGAAGATGGATTTCAAGACCTTCAACCAAATGCATGAACTCCTCATAACTTAAGTCACAAGTAACGACCACTCATCGCTGATGTATATACCACAAACATGTGTGTATAATTATATATACAGTAAGTGACCAGGAGATAGAATATAAATCAATGAAACACATGAATTAGGATTCTAATTCACTGAGGCACACCTGGTAAAAATAGCACATAGAATACGATGCAGTTAGAATATGGTGGAACGGAACAGCCATTGAATCAACACCACGGAAGACCATACTTGTTGTTGTTGCTGTCTCTGTTTGGTCTTTGTCCCCTGCTCTACTTCATAGCACTTCCACAGGCCCAAAGGAGCACCCACAAGGACTGCGCACACCAAAGGAGCACCACAAGGAGCAGCTGTTAAATCAACACCACATGGGACCATACTGCAAACGCAAACCTAGCGGTGCCCACCTGGGTGATGTTGCCCGATTCTCTTGCGAGCGGCTGTTAAAACAAAAGCAACACAAGCACGGATTACGACAGTCATCAACCAACTTTACTAGCATTATCTTTTGGCACCTCCTCATTAAAAATCATCGAGAAGCTAAAATGTATCACTCTTGTTTTGTATGTCTCTTGTATATTCTAAGTGCATTGGTGTAAATTCTAAGTGCATGGAAGCTCCGAATTACATGTTCATATTCCAACTACATTCCTAGTTCCTTATGTTGAAGTCTAACTGCCAGTCACATACAGTACATATACACGCATCTCAGAGATACGTCCTTCATCTTTGAAGGTTCCCTTCATTTGAGACACCCACATTTCTTCCAAACACGCAAGGAACACATTGAAGACTGAAGCCTCCCGCAAAAATAAATGGTCAAACCTCCCAGAACTTGGTGCCTGGGTTGAAGGCCGAATCCAAAGCCTCAGATGCGGCCGCCCTGCTTCCGGTGGACGTCGTCAGTTCAGGGTTCAGGGTCGCGAGTCGTCTCTTCACGTGGGTCAATACCACACCCGCAACGAGCCTGTGGTCGATTCTGAGACCCGTTGCATTCGAAGAAATACGACCGCTTAAGTGGGACAAACTGTCATAGAAGCCCTCCCACGAATTGCAGGCAGCCCTGTGGCCCTGTGATGCCTTTTGTTGCATTGGACGAAGAGAACCTCTCTGCACACGTGCTTTTGGCGTAGAAGCCTGGTTTCTTCAAGAAACAATGTTATGGATGTTCTCGAGCAACTTAGAAGCTACACGAAGCTACTGTACTATCCCAATTCATCAATCACCCTATCACCTCAGCTTCATCCAAAGCTGTGGTCCATGGTCTCTTCAATCTTTTCGATTAGAACTTCAAAAGTCATGTCAAGCCTCTAGAGTTCTATGTCAAGTAGAAGACGCTGCATGCATCTGCATGCCAAGACTGCCCGCTTGACCTTCCAAAATGTTCAGACTTTTGGGGCATCAGACAACCGGTACTTGAATGGGGTTGGGGTTCCAATGTGACAAAGGAAACACACATGTACTACTGTAACCGTCCTGACCCCAAGGGTTTTCGTGCTTTGTCGTCGCTTCAGTGTGTCAGGGTGCTCAACGAGGGGCCGCGGAAGTGTTCACTGCCAGCAAGGAATCTCAACACCGTAGGTTGACTCATCTGTTAGTCTGTTTTGACATGTTTTGCCATCCGAAGCGGCATGTCGCATCCCAAGGCACACAAAAGTCGAGTCAGCAGGAATGCCAAAAATGTCGCCTTGAGGCGAAAGGACCTCAAGCAAATGATGACCATGTTAGCCACACCATGGGCTTTGGTGGGCTTTGGGGGGCGTTTGGAAGCCATAGAACAATTCATGTCAAAAGCAGGCAACTTGATGCAATGTCTGCAGGGTCTTGGACTCCAGCACTATGTACAAAGTTCTCGAAAGATGCGGGTAGAGTTGCTCCGATAGCCTTGGCAACAACGACCATTATGTCATGAGAGCCACAACAGTGCAAGAAACAGGGGTGGAACGGGTGGAGGCCATAGCCCATGGCTATTAGGTTGGAGGCCATCGGTACTAGGGGGAGGCCATCGCTATTATGTGAACAAAGAGCCTTCGTCGCCAAGAGACTAACTCCGAAACATTGAGCGATGCTGTGTCTATGACAAGCACTGTTGATGCACCCGCTGGCACGGCATAAATGGAGCTCGTTTGGCTCATTACCCCATGCAGCCACTTGTAGCCTAATAGGGACTGGCGGAGTGCATCGCATGATATGCTGATACTGCTCATACTTTTGAAGTGACAAAAGGGAAGGTCTGTCAAATTTATATAAACAAATCAACATGAATCAACAACATGCCTGTGGTTCCCACATCGCCGAAGAGTTCGAGAGCGGAGGAGCCCCCTCCCGCAGCGACCAAGAAGGGATCGATGCGCATGACCTGCGACGCAGCGATCAAAATTACACCACTGTAGACCCCAAACAGTTTGTGTTTTTCAAAATCGAAACTAGAGCTTGGACAAAGGATTGCGCAAGGCAGAGGCGGCCACAGCAGCCCAGAGCTGGGAGACAAGTGTAAAGGGTTGCAAGGCAAAGACGGACACAGCCGTACAGAGCAGGCGGACATATCTTAAGAAAAGAATTGAGAAGCTGAAAGGATGCGGAGCGCGTTTTCAACCGCAAGCTTTGGGCCTATATGGCCATCCGTGTTGGTGTGTGCATGCTATGCCTGACAGACTGTCCGCTCATGTCATGATTTCAGTCACTCCTCCTTCTGTCAGGGACAGTTTACACATCCTGACTTCAGTTGCCCTGCAAAATGAGGGCATGCACGGGAGAAATGCAGAGCCCTACCAGCTGGTGTCATTCGAAGCTGGTGCAGGCGTTCTTCAAGCCTGCTGCTGTACTTCTCTGCAATTTCCCTTTCTTTCAAAAAATCACCCAAACTTTCCTTCATTCGTTCCATCTGTGCCTCAAGTTCCTCTATGTATGTCCCCTTGGAAAAACATTCAAATTCCAAGGCTTTGATCCTATCTGTACATTTGGCACAGTGTTGCGCATCAAGCCACTGTGGGGCTTGGATTCCGCTGTCCTTCATTTCCGCTCTCACACTCTTGTAGGTGTTCTTCATCTGGGTCGTGGTCTTCTTGATGTTCTGCAAGAAGATTCCAATGCCCTTCATCAGAGCATTCACATAGTCGCGCATCCATGCGCATAGGCTCAAGGCCCCAAGCAATGCACATAGGCAAAATGCCCACCAGCTAAGGTCAATCCTTTGATCTCCTGGTTGTCCTTCTTCAGCTGGTTCACCGCTTGCCTTTCCAAGGTTGGCCATGAGCATCAACAGACCAATCCTCAGATCTTTGCTCTTGTTGAACTTCTTCAGGCTCATCTTCATCTGGTACTCTTTCTCGATCTCTTGGAACTGCTCTTCTCCCACGCGGTCACCCACGGCGTCGATCACTCCCATCATGTAGAGCAGCCCACGAAGCCTCTTCTTTGGCAGATTCTTTGCGCGGATATCTGCGCTGTTCAAGTCTGTTGGAATGGGACCCACTTGTATGATTTTGTCCCTTTCCTTTTGTTGGATCCATAGCATTGCTGCGTCCATGTGACGCACCCTTCCAATGCCTTGTCTCTGTGTCATGCCACGCGCCGCTGAGCTGTCTGATCTGGCCTTTGTTCTGCAGCTGCCGCCTGTGATCTGGTTCCACAGGCGTCGTAGGAGCATTCCCTCCGAGCATCCCGACACCAAGGCCATGAATTCGCTTTCACCTGAGGACAAAGCGATGGCCTTTTGACTTCGCACTTTGCTGTCAATCAAGTTGCCATCCAGGTACAGCTGCATGGATGTTGTGGACTTTCTGTCATTCTTGTTCCCTGCGTGATCGGAGTCTGTTACAATCTCCAGCAGGTGCTCCTCTCCGTCTTCCACCTCAGCTCCATCTCTGAAGTCCATCATCGACTGTCCCTTCTTCTTCTCTTCCAGTCGGACTCCATAGCCACTTGTACCGAACATGTAGGAGCATGTGTGCCAGGCGTTCTGGAGAGCTTGTTTTGTTGGTTTGGCCATGCGCCTTGCCAAACATTGAATTGCATATTGTGCGTCTGGTCACTCTCCCGCCATGTACATCAATCTTCCAACAATGCTCCTGTACCTTGTGACCTCACCACTCTCAAACAACTCTGAGTCATCCTTCTTCCCGAAGTTGGCATCCAGCGGTGTCTTTCTGTAGAACTTTGCATAGATGTCCACGTCTTTCTCAAAGCTGTCGTACTGTTTCCTGTCACACCTGATGCCGCAGTGAGCTCGTCCAAGGTTGAACTGCCTCCTCACGTAAAAGAACTTGTCTCCGTGGCTAAAGGGTCCTTTCTCTTCTACATTCCACTGTTTCTCCTCCTTGAAGTAGTGCACGAGGTCTCTTACCTTGTCCTCTCTCCCGACGATGAATACGTCGTCAACATGTACCGTGAGGTAGATGAGGTGCCTGATGAACATCAGCGTTGGTTGCATTGGATCTTGCTCAAGTCCATGTTCTCGACAGGCTGAGGCGAACAACTGAAACCATTGCGATGCCGCTGTTCTTTGTCCTGGCAGGCATCTCAGAAGTTTGAATATGCGGCTGTCAACCTGCACATAGGCTTTCTCGGTGAGAGGTTGCTGTGCCATGAGGAAGGCATCTTTGATGTCCAAAGTGACTACCACGAACTCCCTTCTGACGTTGAGCAGGTAGTGGATGAGCAATTTGGGTATTGCCATGATGGATGTGGGAGCGAATGTGGCATCAAGTTCTATGCTGTTTCTGAACTGTCTTGCTACCAATCTCGCACACCTGAACCATCCTCCTTGCTCGACACGGTGCTTCCAGCATAGTACCACCTTGGTGCTAATGATGTAGCCCCCTGTCTCATCCACCTCTGCTTGGTTTGTCTCTGTCATGGCCGGCATGTTGATCATACGCTCGATCTCCTTGTCACGTGCGGCCTTGTCCAGGAGTTCTAGCTCTTCTGCTGACACTTCTGGAGGGTCATCACCTTCTTCTCCCCCATAGCTCCCCAAAAACTGTTCTTCCAGTATCTCCTCGGGTAGCAACTCTGGATCCATTTCTTCATCTCCATGTGGCTCTTTGACATAGGCTCCAACTGCTTCCATCCTTGCGTAGTGAGGAGGATACAGATGTTCTACAGCGTGAGTTGGAGACATTCTTGGTGACCCTGCAGGTTCATGCATCGGTGCATCCTGATCTCTGTCACCTTCTACTTGCTCTCTTCTTCCTCTCTTCTCCTCTGTCTCCTCTCCAGCCTCTCTAAATCTCTTCTCAGCAGCCTTCCTTGGAGATTCTGTTGTGTCCTGTCTCTTTCCATCTTTCTCCTCCTCCAACTTTCCTTCTTCATCCAACCTTCTCTTTGTTGGTCCAGCTGTTGGAGTCTTTGGCGCCGTTGTTGAACCACTCATCGTCAATGTCACACCTGGTGTAGCTGGTTGCGCTTGTAGTCCAGGTGCTGGCGTCACCACTCCAGTTGCCACTTCCTGTGCGATCTCCTTTAGCTCTTCCTCGCTGGCTTCCATCTCTATTGTGGGTTGTCTGTACCGTTGTGCTCGGCCTGCATGTTTCATTAGGATTCCTTGCGCAGAGTAACTCCATTGCAAGCCTTTTGCTGTGAAGATCTTGGGCCCGCTGAAACTCTCCTCTGGTGACAACCTTCTGATTGTGCGAGCTTCGTAGGCCCCAGTAGTTGACAGCAGGACATGATTGTCGTTCCATGGATGTTTGGTCACCCAAACGCCTTTCTCGAACACTGCACTGCCCTTGTTGCGAATGGAGCGCTTGAACATCACACTCTCCCCAAACAATGCCAGCTTCCCTCTGTATGGATGTCCAGTAGCTAACTCGAAGCTGGTGCGATTTGAGCCATCCAGAACTCGAAATCTGTTGACCAGGAACGAAGCATGTTTGAATGCCCACGGAAAGATGTCAAAGTTCCCGGCAATATCAATCCTGGCTTTGTCTTCTGCATACCACCTCAGGCAATTTGCCATCCTCCTGATCGTCTGAACAGCTCGCTCCACTTGTCCATTTGAGGCATGTTGGCCGGCACCGGTGAGTCGAATCTCCGTCTTCATCCCCAGCACACTTCGGACCTGCTGCACTGATCTGAGCAACTGCCGAGTGGCTCGCTCACTGTCGGCCTGGACGATGCATGGTTCTCTTGCTGAGTTTTCAAGCGCAAACCTCACAATCTCCTCTGTCAGGGTCTTCAGGCTTGCAGTTCCCTTTGAAGGTACTGGTACTGC